CACGGGAACGGGACTCGAGGGCGGAGTGAACGCCATTGAGGGCGGGGTTTGTATAGACTTAACGCAAATGAATAAAGTTATTGAAGTGAATGAACACGACTTCGACTGCACTGTTGAGGCGGGCATTAACTGGCGGTCACTGAATCAGTATCTCAGAGATACCGGTCTATACTTCCCCATAGATCCCGGTGCGAGTGCATCCATAGGCGGAATGACAGCTACCAGTGCTTCGGGAACTAATGCCGTGGCCTTCGGAACGATGAAACAAAATGTACTCAATTTGGAAGTGGTTTTACCGGACGGACGGGTCGTGAATACGAGTGGACACAAGTGTCGGTCCCGTAAGTCTTCGGCCGGTTATGACTTGACCTCAATGTTCATCGGAAGTGAAGGCACTTTGGGTACGATTACGAAGATATGTCTGAAGTTGAGTGCAGTTCCAGAGTGTGTGGCGTCCGGTGTCTGCAGTTTTCCGGACGATAAGTCGGCCATCGATTCAGTCATCGAAACCCTTCAGTCGGCTATTCCTGTGGCGAGAGTTGAATACTTGGACGACGTGTCCATTAAGGCCTGTCGTGCCTATAGTCGAGTCCCACTCACCGAAAGTCCCACTCTTTTCCTCGAATTCAACGGATCCACGACTGAAGAAATGAAGCACCGGTCGGAAAGAGTCCGACAAATAGTCGTCTCAAACGGCGGATCAAACTTCGAGTGCTCTTCAGATCCGGAGGAAAGGAAACAGTTATGGAAAGCGAGACACGAGTTTCGACTGAAGAAATGAAGCACCGGTCGGAAAGAGTCCGACAAATAGTCGTCTCAAACGGCGGATCAAACTTCGAGTGCTCTTCAGATCCGGAGGAAAGGAAACAGTTATGGAAAGCGAGACACGAGTTATACTATGCGCTCAAATCCCTCGCCCCCACCTCCACAGCCATCACAACCGATGTTTGTGTCCCGGTCTCGAAGTTAACCCAAATGATCGTCAAAACCAAAGAACTGCTTAAGAGGGAGGGTGTGATGGGTCCGCTGTGTGGACACGTCGGTGACGGCAACTTCCATGCGATGCTGTTTTATGACCCAAACAATAGCGAGGAATCAAAACGAGTCCATTCAGTGGCCAATGATATCTGTGAGATAGCCCTGCAATTGTGTGGTACCTGTGCTGGAGAGCACGGCATCGGCAGAGAGAAGATACACCTTATGTACAAACAGTATGATTCAGTGGCCATCGATGTCATGAATAGTCTGAAGTTGGCGTTTGATCCCAAGAATCTGATGAATCCGCAGAAAATATTTTAAATAAAGTTTCATATATTAGAAAACTATTAAGAAGTTTATTATAAATTTAAATATAACTTATTGTCCACGATATTATCTTATTTAACTTTCAGAGCAGCAGTTTTTATCAAATTAATTCACATAAAGTCCTTATTTTAAGATTATTTGTCATTTGTGTCACGATTTGAATAGTGACATTAGAGGACTTTTGCTATACAGTACAGTACAGTATTGTATTATTGTTAAAATTTTCATTATTCACTAAACTAATTATCTAATCAATAGGTTCTGAATTAGAACTTCTGATGCAAAGTATTTTATATACATTTAAATTTCTTAATTTAATTTTTTTAATACAGAATTTTCTGTAATATAATCTAGCAAGTTTAATCATTACTAGTATAGTATAATGATTATACAATGTCTTACAACTGTCTACTGTAATTTTTAACAGCAATACTGCAATATTTTTATCAGTAAAGTTTATACCAATTGTTCTCATTTATATTAAGCAAGGTAACTCTTTTAACTTTGATAATTCAGGACTTATGAGGACAGGAACTAATTTTCAAATATAAATACACTGTCGAGGATTAATCAAAATTATTGTCTTATAATATTATAAACTTTTCATAAACATATTAATTACATTAAAATGAATGCAGAATATATTGAAGCGCCGGTAGAGTTGCGAAAACCACTCAGAATTGATTACAAGATGCTTATGAACGCCGGACCAACTAATGTCAGCCCCAGGGTAATGGACGCTATTAATCAGCCGCTCATCCACTTTATGGACCCCAAGTTCCTCGAAGTATTCATACACTAAATCATTTGATATATAAATATTATATGAGTTGCGACCTACAGGTGCTGCGGGAAATATCTGCCGGAATTCGCTACGTGTTTCAAACCCGTAATCAATACTCGATGGCATTGACGGGTTCGGGTAACTGTGCGATGGAAGCGGCCATTTGTAGTCTACTGGAAACGGGTCATACATTCCTCGTATTAGTGCACGGATTTTGGGGCGAAAGGGCGGCACTGATCGGTCGAAAGCACGGCTATAATGTGGTTGAGTTGCGGGTCCAGCGACCGGGCCATCTGTTTGGCTTCAAACGAATTGATGGTTTTGTTTCAAAAGTGAATCATTTTTGTCTAATTTTTATTATTGGTATCCATTTAGAGGCAATCAAAGCACACAAACCGCGGCTCATGTATGTCTGTCACGGGGACTCCAGTGTGGGTACACTCCAGCCGTTGGAAAACTTGGCGAATGTATGCCATGAAAACGGATGTCTACTACTAGTGGATGCCGTGATATCCCTGTGCTGTGCGCCACTCAATGTGGATCAACTGGTAATCGATGCCGTGTTCAGTGGTTCCCAGAAAGCCCTGTCAGTCCCTCCCGGCGTGTCTTTTATAAGTCTGAGTCCCAGAGCTGTTGAACGCATGAAAAGCCGTAAAACAGAAATCGTTTCCTTATATTTGGATCTCATTTTACTGGCGAAGGCCTGGTGTCTGGACTCAGACAACCACTATAAGTATAAGTATGTCTAACTAAGTATAAGTATAAGTATAAGTATGTATAAGTATGTATAACTATAAGTATGTCTATCACTACACACCAGCCGTTCAGCTCATGTATGGCTTAAGGGAATCGCTGGCAATGGTTGTTGAGGAGGGCCTACAGAATGTGATCGAAAGACACCAAAAGTGTAGTCTATTTGTGCAAAAAGAGATCACATCTCTTGGCCTTCAATTTTTAGTCCAAAAACCAGAGCACCGGTTGTCAGCACTACTGGCCCTTTGGATTCCCGACCACATCGACGGCCAGAAAGTTATCAACGATTTGTGCAACTCGTATGGCATTACAATAAGTGGTGGTTTGGGAGCAATAAGTCATCAGATCTGGAGATTAGGCTTTCTTGGGGTCAATGCTAACCCACAAAATGTGAACACTTTATGCAAAGCTTTTAGTGAAGCCATTAATAGACAGAAAAATCGCGAATAATTTTTATAACAAAATTTTCAAACAATTACTGAAATAAATTTAATAAAATATTACAAATAGTTAAAAATGATAGGAATATAAAACCAACTAAACCTTACCTTGTGCTAATTAATAGTACTGAACCTTACTAAGCTATATAACTATAACGGGACACACAATTGTTTAATTTTGACCAATTAATTGACAAATTTTCATAAATGGGCTCATGATATACCATAGATGAACATCTCGCACTAATTGTTGTGTCAAACAGAGTCTCCAAAAACTGACGAGAGGTAATTGGCGTCCATAGAATAATCACCGCCTGTCAAACATCGATACTAGTAAACCAAACAGTTGTGTATAAGTACTTGCCATTGACGTAAGATTTGCTATTGAATGCAATATATGATTTTCAATTCAATGTATTCCGAGGAATCGTATTTTTAAAGACACTATTCTTCAGATCCAGTGAATCCATTGTAATCGCATTGCTATTATACAAGTGCTATCTATTAAGACTGCAAATTATGTATATTAATCATAATTTATCTACAATTATGTTTCATATTTACTACTCATTTGTGTTACAAATTAAGAGAGAAGTGAAAAGTTTAGACAAAATATTTCACTCATCATTACTGCTAATCATATCCCTATGTATTCACAATCAGATCATAAATTCTGTGTTTTTGTCCATTCATTTCAGCAATAGTTATATACATATTATTTCACATATTTCTGTGAATTGGCTGAAATTGACTGCATTTTGTTATGTCTGTAATATTGTGCCAAAGTCTATGTCTAAACTCATTGATAACTATAATTGTCATCTAGTTAAACAATACTCTAGTCATACAAAACAAATGAAAGTCGACAAGTTGTATGATTTGAATCTAGCACAAATTATTCTTAAAATTGAAAGCGATATCTATTTGACATTTGGTTTCTATAAAGTTAATTGCAAAACATTTTTGACTATAATTTCAATCATCATATCCTTTGCCGTAATCTTAGTTCAAACGAGTAGTCAATTGTAATCAAAACTACAGTACTGTATGTTATTCTGTAATATTCTGTAATATTCTGTAATATTCTGTAATATTCTGTAATATTCTGTTATTCTGTAATACAGATTCTGTAACTATTTTCTAAGTCCTTATATTTCAAATTTAAATGCGATTTTGTAAACATGAATGCAATTCACAATCATATGTGTTATACAAATCACTTCAATTGATACCATTTTATATAAAATTCTTAGATTTATTTATTTGTTGCATACATATCTATGAAAGTACTAAAATGTTGTAAATAAATAGCTTAACACATAAACTTGATTTATGAAACAAATATTTTGAAACATTTGAACATTATTATGCCATTTATTTGTCACATTTTAGTACTTTTATTGATATGCAACCTATGCTAACATATATGTAAAATGGTATCAATTTATGCGATATGCTTAACACATATACGAGCCTTACATTCAATGCTTTCAGTGAATCGGCGTTTGATTGAATGAAAACCACAACAAAGTGTGAATCAAAACAATTCATTGATTGCAGTGATTGTCACTTCTTGTGGTAAACAATGTCCAGACATACCATCGAAATACCACTGAAGGAGTCGGCGGATGAGGTAATTGAACTCGATTTGGATGAACTGCCCGATTGTCGGGAAGTGCTGCAGATCTTGCAGTCAGAGACGGCACCTCTGAATGTGTGGATCCAATTGGGTATGACTTGATTGACACCATTGTCTGACCACTAATTGCCATGACCACTAACTCGATGTCTAATGATCTGGATGTGTGTATGGATAGCATTGGCGTACTATAAGCAGAACTGCGACCATGACTTCGTGCAGTTGCTGGAGATGTCGCGTACGGACGCCTCGCTGTCCTATCAGGACTACGAGAGGGATCAGATGCGAGCGTTGGACACTTTGGCCGCGTTTTACGTGTCAAAAGCCAATCGCGAGAAAAATCGCGACAAAAAGCGCGAACTCTTCGCTCAGGCGACGGTCCTCTACACGAATGCCGACAAAATCGTTATGTATGAGCCCAACCATCTGGTCGGGAGGGCCCACTTCTGCCTGTCCGAGCCCGACAAAATGGAGCAGGCTGATGCACAGTTCACTTTCGTGCTCA